ACGAAACACAGAGCCCAAATCCTCAAAAATTTGTGGTATAATTCTTCTGAATACTTCTCAGATATACTTCTAGTTGTATCCAGCAATAATTACAGAGAGCAGAAGAAGGGCTGGAGGGAGGAGTGGAAAAGGGCATCTTAGCTATAAGAAGGGAATCCTGGGCCTTCTGGTGTTTTCCTGGCTCCGGCTGCCATCTACTGTTTTGTCAGGCACCATGAGGTACACGGCTTATTTTGAGCCCACGTGAATCTTTTCTGAGACTGAACTCCGGCTGCGTACACAGGCAGGATACATAGCACAGAACCACCCCTCCAAGGGACAGCAGAGGAAGATTTAACGCAGCAAGCTGACGAAGAGTTCCGATGAAATTAGTTCTCAAGTATTTGAGGTAGCATCACTTCCACTGAATTAACTGCTTGACGTGGTTTTAAGCGTGGTCCCTACTGAGCCAAGGACAGACATAGCAAAACATAAACTTTGATCTTCCACTGCATAAAAAGGGGGCAGGCTTCTGTTCTTCACTACTGCTGCGGTAGTGGCTGTTGTATGTTGGGCTGCTTTTCCTTCCATTTAAGTGGGTGTACAGAAGGCCTGATTCCTAACTAAAGCAGCACTGGTGTAGGGAGAATCATCTCAGTGTAAAACTCATCACTGCAACTGTGCAAACCAAGTGTAAGTGTTACACGCAATATATAAACTCAAACTAATGTAGCAGTCATCGGCATATGCTATAAGCTTCTGGAATAGGATGCACATACACCATTATTTTTAGCATCTTACTAGCTTGAATTGTGCTAGGAAATCATTTCTGCCCTGCTGTGAGAGACCTAATCCATCCTCCTCAAACTGGCAAGAGTTCGTAGCTCTTTAATACAGTGGCACAATGTGCTCTCAGCACACTCAGCGCACTCCTCCACTTTGTTTGCTCCAGATGTTGCACGTGGCTTCGAAGCGTGACACATTTTGTTTGCCCTGTTGTTACAGCAGGCAGACAGCGCATAGTGGGCACAGAGGACATTTCAGAAACTCCTGATCTTTGGGAAGCCGTGGATCTTTGTGTGAAGATTCTACAAACTGAAGAGTGATGTGACAGACTACATTCACTGTCACTTTTGGCACAGGACAAGCAGTAACCCAGAGATCAAATGGATTATGTTGTCTGGGACATCTGGCTCTGGCAGAGACTCTTGAGATGTCACATCACTGACAATATCCTTCTGATGCCTGGAGCTTGTGCAAACAAAGGAAGCCATGCCAATGGCTGTAGATCCAAAAATAATGTGCTGCTGGAAAGTTGCCTGTCAGCACTTTAGCAACAGGATCAGACTTGTGAAGCAGTTACTTCACTCACAGGTAATGAATAGAGCTGAATTAGCAGCTGGCTTTGAGAGGATGGGAAGAAGCTCAAGAAAAGGAGTCTCCCTTATTTAAATTGCTTCATACTGAGGTCACAGGTTGATGTTTTACACCTGGTCAGAATGTCCAGTTCACACCTAGGCATTAGACTATGCAGAACTAGAACTATAGCTTTGGGTCACAAATATTATGAGGAGTAGTCCATATTTGACTGGGGGGCGGGCAGGAGAGGGATTTTCTGCAGGGCTGCTTAACAGGGCTGGATGAGAGCCCTAAGCCTTTTATGACTTTGTCTTTGGCAATATTTCATGCTGGGAAAAGCTCTGAAGGATTGAATCTACTGGAATACCCTGCTTTGAAGAAGCAGCAAAGCTTTGCAGGTTGTCGTAGAAAACAATCACAGACTACCAGCAAATCAATAAATGGAGAGGGCTAGTGAACAGGGATGATAGCCTGCCATCCTGGCTAAGGGTACCTCCCCTTCTTCATACATATCAGTGCTAAAAATCAGCATTGCCTATTTTGTAGTACTGATTGTTTTAGTCTCGGGCTAAAAACCTGTACCTGTAGTCTGAAGACCTTTGTTAAGAATAGCATTAGGCTCTGTAGCAAGTGTAGTGATGATGTTGACTGTTCAGTCAAATTCTCAAAGTAAAGGTGAAGGGGCTGGTTAAATTTGCCCATAATTTCCAGTAGTATTTATTGCAATTTTTTTACTTGCGCCAGTTGCTGAATCTGTCTGCCTGATGTCCTCCTTCTTGCACTTGCACGTTTTGAGTGTTCTTCAGAGTTGAGATTCAAACCATAGCAGAATTTGCCAGCTGAAGTCATGAGCTGTTTATTGAAAAGCTATGTGAAAAAGCTTCCTGTAGACTGTTGTCTTCATGAGGAATATTTTTGATCTTAATTTGACAGTCTATCTGTTCAATCTGTGATAACTGTTTTTTCCTTTCCGACTTTGTCATTCCCCAGCAAAAGCTATCTTGTAAATATGTAACTTTATCTTAAATTACAAAAAAATCTGTATGATCATCTCTGTCACTCCTTCTTTCAAAGCAACAAAACCAGGTATTTTATTGTTTTGAACATTCAGGGACTACCTCTCATAAATAATCTCTCAAAAGCATTTTGATTACACAGCAATCACGACTCCTCTGTTTTACTACAAAAAACACTCACTACAAAAATTTGCCAAATTGCAGGCTAGCACAGAACCAAAAAGAAAATGCCTTTAAACTTAATAATTAAATTTCAATGTCCTTTCACATGACGAAAGAAGTCGCCACATATTAGATGAAGAGTTATCTGAGAAGATCATGCTCAGCAAAGTAGCAAACAACAAGGATTTTTGATCCCCCTGAAAGGGAGACTGAAATTAAAAAGAAAGCAGACAGTTGATAAAAGCTGCCATTTATAGAGTCAAAAAAATTAGGCTGGTCTCCAATGCAAATAGAGTAAGAGGGCCAAGATGCTAAATGCATGTAATTTTTTCCTTGAAGAGCATTATTAGGAAAGCTTACCGTGAGAAAGCTACATGCTTCAACCAGCTGATGGACCTCCAACACAAATTACAGGCAAGATAATCCGTAAAGTTTGAGCTCCGAGGTTGGAGATGATTAATGCACCATGATCTCACTGGAAGGTGTTGGAATATTCACTCTTAAAAACCTATCACAGGTGTATACATAATCCCACTTATTTAAAGGCACAACAGTTTATGATCTATGTACATCAGACACCAAGAAGAGAAAGCGTTCAACTCGGGAGAAAGTTTGAAGCCCACAAATCCAACTTGTTGGGACCCACCACTGTACTCCTGTGAATGTTAAGAAAGGAAGCACATCTGAAGCTGCTGCTGCTAAAGCATGTTTATTTCACGTGTTCTCCCATCTCAAGTGATTTTTAGACATGTCTCCATTTCACAAATAAATCAGTTTTTAAAAGTTATGCAGAATTTGTTATACAAAAGCCACAGAAATGGTACAGGACACATACTTCTCAAGAAATAATGATGATCCCATATAATTTACAGCAATAAAGTTACAGTGAAATGCTCAAAAAGCTTCTATCCTTTGTCAATGGGAATTTAAAAATAAAACTAATGTAAGCCTGGGTTTTTGACAAGGCCTTTAAATAGCAGGCTGATCTCATTAATCATCTGGCATTAGATACAACTTCAAATTAAATATTTCTGCAAAATCTGCAAAAACCCAACTGATATAACAGACTGAAATTATGATAAGAGATCTGTTGAAACTTCAAGACAGAGAACACCATTTTCCAAAATAAAAATAGTGGGACAGCAGTACAAAAAGTCAGGTTTTCCAAAGCATTGCTGTCTTGACTGGACCACCAATGAGACAACTTTCTTTAGGAAACTTTAGACACGGAAAAATCAGTCTAAAAACTGATCTAAGTTAAATCTTTTTTTTTTAAAGTGCATTAATTATTTGAACAGTACACTGATACTTTAACAATCTTAAATACAAAAATTCAAAGAACCAGTATAGTTTTTGAAGTTTAGAACAACTGACACCAAGAATGAAATTACTACTATTTCTTAGATTTATAAACTATTTCGATACATATCTTCTTTTGTGCCTGTACACTCCATAACACAATGGAAACCTGATCCTGGTTGGTCACTGCTTTCACAACTTAGAGAAAATGATGTAAAAAATCTGGACTATGGGTTTATTTTTTTGACAGCTGCGTTACTGAAAACTCTCTTGGATTTTAATGATCCCTTAGACTTTGAAACACACTCATCCATGGAGAAACCCAAGCAAAATTAACAGGAATTATAACTGCCAAGAATAAGATAGAGGACGTAGCATCAGCTGATTCCAATGGTCAAATGCAAATCATACTTCATCTTAATTTAGAGTAAATCCATTTGGTGATAGAAGGTGTGCTCAGAACTTACTTCTGGGGGACACATGTATCTTCTGGCACAGTAACATTTATTTTTGCAACTGCAATGAATTTGCATGCATAATGGCCACATAAAAGGCTGAAGAAGAGACCACATTTATCTACCGTAAGAAAGGTAGAACAACGACTACAAAAATGACGACAGCTAAGTAATAAAGGCTTTACATTACAGCCCAAGCTACAAGCAACTAAAAAAAGTTTGGAAATGTGTGAACTACCTCTGCAAAAACTGTAACAAGGTAAGGAAATGGATAGGCTAATGACATTGAAGAAAACAGACAAGATAGGAAAAGACTGAATAAACAGTAATGCCTTCATCTTTTTGGGTTCAGGATCAGATGTGATGACATGGTGTTAAGACAGCAAATTTTGCTTTGTCACTTACAGAACTAGAGCTTTTTATTTATCTACACATCAGAGAGTCTCTTGCTATGCCTTCCAGTGCAGTATAAAACTTGAAAATACTAGTTGTATGTATTTGCTTCTTTTTACAGATCTTTATGTAACTGTAATGTTAAATAAAATACCTGGCAATAAAAGCTTACTTAGAATGTTGGTCCAATCTCAAAACACTACTTAGCAGTCACACCAGCATTGAAAGACTACCATCTATTTATCTATCTTTTTATCAGGTTCAAGGTGTAGAACAACCACCACATGGGAGTATGAGACAACATTATATAATTACATTTAAGGTGTAGTTTTGGTATTCAGTTAGTTGCATCATCCCTTTTCAGAGGAATTATCTGAAGTGCTTTGGCTATTCTCTCTCCTATAGCTCGACTACTTGCTGCAATTATTCTTCGAGACATCAAATCGAATGGTCCACCTAGAAATCAAAGCAAGCAAAGTAACTAGCTTGTATCTGGAGAAAACAAAAAGCTGGTAAGAAAATGATAACTGAAAAAATCAAGTGTAAATGATACATTACTATTTAGGACCAAGTTTTGCCCCTGGATAAAAATGCATTTAATACAACAGGTATCTCATATGAGCTACATTTAAATTCTCTTCAGTGTATGTTTACTGTCTTTTTTCACTTTTCCAGATGCTCAGCCAAGGGAGTAAAGGTTGTCTTGTAGCTAAGAACATACAATTGACTCTCTCTCAGTCTATTAACTGGATGGGAACTCTGTTCAGTAGTGGCAACTTGGAAAGAGGACTGAAAAACCTCTTTGCCTTCTCATTTCAGCTATGTTTTGCTCCCAGTTAGCTATTTAAAAGGACAAAAGAGTATCTCGTGCATGCCCGTGTATTTACCTGATACATCTAGCAGTACTCCGCCTGCTTCAGTAATAATGATTCCAGCCCCTGCCATATCCCAGCAGTGAATCCCCATTTCATAATAGGCATCAGCTCCACCCGTTGCCACAAGGCACATATTCACAGCTGCTGTACCAACGGCTCTAATCCTAAAGGAGACACAGTTGTTTTTTTAATTGAGAACAGTTTGTAAGTCAGTCACAATGTCTGTGTACACTGCACGGAGAACACAGAAGCATCATACACAAGGTGAACTGAGCTAGAGAAAATGTGATAGAATGCTGCAGTGAAACAAAAAATTGGGAATGAATTTTTGCTTAAGTAGCTTGAAGAGCTCTCCAAATATAGCAAATTTCCAAAAATTACATTTGTGAATTCTGTTAAACAACTTTGTTTTAGAGTGAAAACACATCTTAAACAACTTCTTAACCTAAAACATATTATGGAAGATATCTACCCATGAAACAGTAACAGATATTCTACTTTGCTTTTTGAACACAAGAATTCAAGCAGAGTGTACACTGTTCTTAGCGTTGAAAAAACAGTTACTTCAGTTTCTCTGGTGATGCTCAGGAAGCATCTTTGACTTGCAAAAAAAAACCCTAACAGCAGTAATCACAAAAAATAAATTACACAGCATAAATTTGGTCTGGATAACTTCATCAAAACCCTTGTGTTACAAATTCCAGTTTCTTTTGATGCACTTAGTAAGTGTGACTTGTACAAAGTTATTTCAATTATAAGTAAAATGTACCTTAAATTGTAACCGATAGCAGCTAAGTTACTGCAAGAAGCAACTTAAATCAAATCCAATCCCAATTTATTGTTTACAAATAAATACCAAAGTTAAACTGACAGCATACCTAAAATGTATTCCCTACTTACAATTTAGCATATATTCTTTAATGACATCAGAAGACTTTTTGAAAGTAGGAAAAAATCTACATGTTAAGTGTCAAAACAAGAATCCTGAGAATCTCAGCATAAAACTACAACCCCTTGCAGCTCAGAAACATGAGTACGGTTTGAGTGACAAAAAACTTTACATCTGAAGGTGGTTTCAGTAGACAATGGTTTGCGGATATGTAGGCTTTGGCTTTTCTGGATGAGAGGAAGCAGGGAATGTAACCAAAATAAGAGCAGTTTATAGACAATTTCAACTACTTGGACAAAGTCAGAAAAACTGTACAGTGTTGAAAGAGGAAAGGGAGATCTACTTTTGTCTTCCGATATATATAAAAAAACCCCAACAACTATTGTCATTACTATGGGGAAAGGAAACTAAGAAATGTAATATAGCTTCTGTTTATCCAGTTTTACTCCTTCTGTGTTTCCAGAAAAATAAAAAAAAGGCACAAAATTGTTTTTCCTTTTTTTAACGAGTAAATACAATACTTTTTAGTCCTACAAAACTAAATATGTTTTGCTTCCCAATACTGATTGTTAGGGTTCTCTTATATATGCCCTAGCTTGAAAAAGTTAACACACACAGAGTTTCTCTGCAGAAATCGTATTTCACATTTGTCAAATGTAATGCAATCAATCCTTCCTAAAAATGGTCATATTTGCATATTTACAGTATTAACACTATCAGTAAATATAAAAAATAAGTATCTTACCCGTGAATAGGAATACTGAGAAGTCTTTCCATGTTAGAAAGAACTATTTTTATAGTCTCTGGATCACGATTTGATCCCAATTCTGTTACTAAAAGGGATTTTGTAATGTCTGGAAAAGAAACAAAACCTCACTTTTCCAACAGTACAATTTATATAATAACACTAATTAGCAGAGTTTACTTCATTGCTTTCTTACAAGACCGAATAAAAGTAAGGAGAGTTGGGGTTGTTCAGCCTGGAGAAGAGAAGGCTGCAAGGAGACCTTATTGCAATCTTCCAGTACTTAAAGGGGGCCTACAAGGAAAGATGAGGAGAATCTTTTTAGCAAGGCCTGTTGTGACAGGACAAGGAATAATGGATTTAAACTAAAGGAGGGTAGATTTAGACTGGATAGAAGGAAGAAATTTTTTACGATGAGGGTGGTGAAGCACTGGAACAGGTTGCCCCAGAGAGGCAGTGGAGGCCCCATCCCCGGCAACATTCAAGGTGAGGTTGGCTGGGGCTGTGAGCAACCTGCTCTAGTTAAAGCTGTCGCTGCTCACTGCAGGGGGACTGGGCTAGATGACCTCTAAAGGTCCCTTCCAACCCAAAGCATTCTATGATTCTATGATTTTTAATATAAATATTACATATATTGAATGTAGAAAAATCTGTCCTTACATGGAAAATGGCAGGAAAAAATAAATACAGTGAACAAAGCATGATCAGGTTCAATTGTGCATATCCATTAATTGATGTCATTAGCAAATAAAATTCTATTGCTATACAAATTAGAACAGTCCTCAGATCTTTAAAGGTCCCACTTTAAGTATGGATTTTACTTTACATAGGGTAGTAAGTATACAAGAGTGATACTGGTTTAAGCCACTAGTTCACACCTGGAAGAAGTTGAATTGTTTGGTAGATGTGTTACAGACTCTAAAGAACAATCACAGACGGATTACAGACAGGAAGGGAATTAAAACCAACCAAACAAAAAACCACAACACACAGACACATAGGAATAAAATCTTCAATTGCCGAGTCCTGATTTTGCAAATATCACAAACACGTTACATGCATGAAAGAGAACATAAAAGCTGTTTCTCAAAACTGAACAAGCCACAGCCAAAAAAACCCCGTCTTTGCAAAACAAAACTATGAGCTAAGAAACAGGAATATATCCAGGTCTAAAACTGTTGATGCTTCATTTGCAAAATAAATGTAATCGCTAGAAATAAGCTACTCAGTTCAGCTTACCTTCTTGGCCTGATACTTGAAGTTTTTGACCATTGCAAAATGCACCTTTTCCTTTTCTGGCAGTATACATCTTGTCTTCTACACAACTATACACAATTCCAAACTCTATCTGCAAGAGAAAGTCGAGATGCCTTGAGGTTTTTTTCCCTTTCTTCCTATTTACTGTGAAAATACAGATCGTAGTTATAACTAGCAACAGGAATTAATTTGGTTTTGATTGACTAAATATCAAGTAATAAAAAGTATACCTTTTTGTTTACAACAAAGCCAATTGAAACTGCCACAAATGGAAACCTACAAAACAAAACATTTCACTAATTTATAGTGAGATACTATGCTTCTTTCATTACCACGCTTACTCTCAATAAAAACAATGTTCAGTTAAATGTAATGTATATTTCAAAAAGAAACTTGGACTATATAGGAAATATTAGTTTTCTGGAACTTGCACAATTTACTATGAAAACAGACCCAACACCACCAACTACCATTTAAAATACAAACTTTTCAACCCACTGAAACTAAGCCTGTTACAGCTTAGGGACTGTCATCCCTGTTACAGCTGTTCCTAGCTCAGGGACTGTCTTTTTATAGCCAAAGAATACAAGCAAGCCTCTATACTACTAACCTTTCTCAGAAGGAACAAGCTGGCCAAAATGGTCTCATCAGAAGCAGCAAGTCACCTCTCCCCCCAACTCCACTTTCTCCACCAAAGCCACAAGAAAGACAGATATTGAAGTGAGAAGGAAGAATGCAGGGGGAAGCGTGAAGGCAGTGGGAGTATATAGGACATCGTGGGCTGCATCCCAGTCTAAGTTTTTAATGATCAACCAATTAATTTCTTTTTAAATTACCATTTTTTACTCTTCAAAATTTACTGTTCCAGAACATTTGCTTTAATTATTACCTGCAAAAAATACAGAATTTTATGTCTGTAAGTCCAGCAGAATGAGTTCTTCTCTTACAGCTTTTTTAACATGTTATTTAGCAGGATGCAGCAGCTGTTTTAAAGCCATGGTGTACATAGTGGCAGTCATTTCAAAATTGGAATCAAGTACGCTCAGAAAAGGTCATCAGGGCCAAAATGTATCATGTTTCAAAGACAGAAGGAACAGGCAGTCAGCATTCCACTGAAAGTCCCCTCCTCATCCTGGTGCAAAATAACACTAGACTATTACTGGTGATATTCTGCTTTCTTTCATGGTAGTGGCTCCTAGATCTCAATGAACTTGAAATTTCTTACAAATCAGCACTTGGAGCTATTATTGCCTCTCTGAAGATGCTGGAACTCCTAATTCTGAGTCCTGTTGCTTCACTGTTAAAATCTGCCCACCTATCTTTGGCACCCATGCCAAAGGCTACTGGCTCCTGCTATATAGCCTCTCACGGAACAACTGCTGTTGGTTACAGTGAGACTACTGTAATACTTACAGAAATACCAAAATGATTACAAAACCTGCCCAATGGCTCTCAGTAAATGAAAGTAGCAATTTCTAACTATTAACAAGTTCATAGTATCTCTTTTAAAGCAATTTAAAAATGAAAAAACCTTACTTTCATGAAACTGGAGAAATAAAGAAGGTAATCAGGTGAAGTTGCTAACATTAGAAAAATGAAAGGTGGACCTGTGTACGAAGTTGGTAGTTCCGTCAATAGGGTCTATAATCCATGTGGGGTTATCTGTCAAAATGCTGCCCTCTCCAGCTGCAACAGATTCTTCTCCGATGAAGCTAGAGTAGCAAACACATTTAAAAGACACAAAGAAATTGTTTAAAACGTCTGAATTACAACACTGTACTTGAAATTAAAATTCTTAAAGTGAGATGCAGGGTTTTTTACCACCAGTGATCATATGAGAAATACACAATTTATCTGGAAAGCACCAACCACATCTGACCAAGCTTGCGTCAATATTTATGATGTCAGAGATGGGCACAATATGTGGGGAAAAGAACTTTACGTTTTAATATTTTACTGGAATTTAGCATTAAAAAAATTGAAGTTTTCATCATTTTTTCTAGTAACAGCATCATCAAATTTTGGTCAGAATACTTGTAGCTATTTACATATTTCAGTTTATTTGTGCTATAAACCACTACTTTTTAGCTTGTGTTTTAACTGAAGAAAGCCTTTGTGGTCATATGCATCTGGTTAGACCACTGCAGTACTGTTAAATTTGTAGTCTGATTTCAACCCAAACATGACAGAAAGTTGTTAGTCTTAAAACTGGTTAGTCTTACAAGCATTACAAAATGGTAACATGGTAAAGGGATGAAAAGCAAACCAGAGCTCCTCCTGAAGAAGACGGCAGACACTAAACCCAAGGGACACACAAGGCACAGTGCCACAGGAACTCAAATGTCACAATTTTTGCTGCTCATGAAAGTATTTGTTTTGAACTGCAAAATTATCTGGATGAGTGTAAGCGGGTGGAATTCTCTTCTATGCCTTTTGCATGTTGTTAAATTTATCACATATTACTCAACCTATGAAAAGTATGCATGAAACACATGCTTTCCGCCACAAATATGTAAAATGAGGAGAACTGCTGAGGGTAAACAAATAAGGTCCCTTTAATATTGATTAGGAGTTTTATGATTAACTATGGAAGTGAAGATGATTGCTCAGAAACAGCATGACTCCAAAAAGCAGCAAATCTTCACAAAGAGAAGAGAGAAACTGAATAGTTATTTAGGTGTATGAGTAATTCATTAGAACTGGTACGTCTAATGAGATATCAATTATCTAATATAAAAAGAAGCTAAAAATATTCGAAAATGTTTATCAATGTCACAGAAACTGTTATTTTAAGGTCATTCCACAAGTCTGTATGCTTACACTAACTTGGTTAGGTTACTGACATTTTGCATCATCTTAGTTGTTCCAATTCCATGCATATTTACTACGTTTCATGTATACAGCTACAATAAGAAAACCTCTGAGAAAATGCAAGAAAAATGAGCAAACTCATTTTAAGGAAACTCTATTAAACTCGAGCCATTACATCAAAATGGGAAAGAAAGTCCCATGTAAGTAAAAGTAAGTAAAATACATACAATTCACCCTTCAAGAATACATTTCGGGGGGCGGGGGGGGGGGGGGGAAGCAATAAAAGAAAAAAAAAATCAGTATCTTGTATGACAGACTTTCAGTTATGCAGAATCAGAAGATCCTGTCTTCTTTTAAGGACGTTTGACGTTCTTAAACTGTATGAGATTTGCCAAAGGCACACTCAGTACCATGGGACCCATCCAGCATAGACAGCAAAGGCATACTAGTTTCAACAGCAGACAAGAAATTTGGGTTCCCGGTATCTTGAGGCCACCTTTGATTCTCCAACACAAATAACTAAGACGTTACTTACAGCTGGCTCAGCTGGAACTGACATTCAGCATAAGTCTTGAGCAAGGCTAAACTCATGTCAGTAGACCCTCGTGACACCTTGTTTTGATACTACAGCCCTTTAAGCTAATGACAAAATTAGCTAGCAATTAATTTAGAAGCATTTGGGCAGAACTTCAACCCACTACTACTCTAAAATACTTAATATACCGAGGGTGAGGGAGACTTCTGTAACTTTCCAGCATGCCAATCGTAATGAAATTTTACCAAGCAAAATCATAAACTTTCCATTTCCTTCTTCCCGTCACGTCCCCCCTTCTTCTATCAAAAGTGTACTGATAAGAAGCCGTACCTGTGAGAAGGATACTTTTCTTTAATCAAAGAAATAATGAAGTTTTCTACTTTTTGATCAGTTTCTGTCACTAGATCTACTGGTGAACTTTTAGTCATAACAGATACTTCTTCTTTGAGTGCTCCACGGATTATCTGTTAACAGAAGAAATAAAAAAAGAAAAAAGCTTTCTCCATTAACTCTATGGAAAATACTAGTTGTCCAAAAAATGTGAGCATCATTTTTACTGTAATTTCTATACTGCACATACAAAACACAAACACAAGCAGTGACAAAACCTGGATTTAACTGCAGGAGCTGGGACTTACCCTTGCATCTATCTCCAGTTCCTACTCAGCACAAACTTTTACATGACCTTAAATCTAAGTACTGCAAGAAGATCCACTGGTACATGAAACTAAGCTCTATTTTGTTCAGACAAGTTTTAGATTTATAAATTTAAATACCAGAGTTAAATGAAACACTCAAGACTGAGCTTAAGTCAGCCATTTTTAGCCAGACCCTGCATTTATGATCTTAAAACTATCAGAATCAGCTTAAGCAAGAATCCATGCCTCACAGGCCACAAAATTATTTTACTATAACTTAGATTTTCTGAGGGAAGACTTTAATGAGGTCATTGCAGGGACAATGTTCTGCAGATTCTGCAGCTTCAGGGAACAGAATTACTACCTGTGCCATCTTGTCTGGCTGCAATAGCATTCAAATGTACCAAGCAGAGCTACCAAGAACTGAACATTTGGTAACCACACTTACACTGAGGCTCTGCCAAGACGTGCAAACTCATTCTTGTTCTAAACCATCTTAGATCACAAATGGGCAAAGTACTACCACTGCAAGTGATGCTTCTTATTTATAGAAGTAAAGCAGTCTTCATAAAGAGAACATGATGTGGTATCTTGTGCCAACAACAAGCCATTGTACAAAGCTGACTGTGGTGTTTGCAAGAAAAACTGTCAACAGCTTTCAGGCGGTAAAATAATAAGGCAGACAGGTGCAGTTCAAGGGGAAAAACAGAGATGCTCTTTGATTATCACAATTCAGAATTTTTTACTTTTTTTTAAGATCAAATTTAATGAACAAAAGATACTCCTTAGTCTTTAATTGGACTCTGGTCCAAAGAGAAGTGCAAAGTTGTTTTCTTAAATTAACCAAGCTGTAAACATAAAAGACACTCCAGTCTTGAACATCACTGATGATTCTGCTAACTTATATTTTTGACAAAATACTCAGAAGAATATCCAACATCAAATTCCTTCAAAAGCTACATACATACTAGACTCAAAAAATAACGAAATAACGTTATTATTTATAAATAGTTTATACTTACATCCCCAGCTTTCCTTGCTAAAGCAACTGCATAATCCATACATTCTTGCCAAGGATCTGCCATCTTTTCTTAGATATATAGCCTACCAAAAGGATAGATTAACACAAAAATTATTATGCTGCGCTTTTTTTTTTTTTACAAATTCGAATTTTCTGCCCCCCCTGTTCTGGACCACACTGTTCTCTCCTTGCTAGAATACGGAAGTTTGTCCTACCCTTTACTCTGAAAAACCTTTAGAAGTATTAAAAGCTTACTCTAAGCTACCAGATTTTTTCCCCACATTGTGTGATTATCAAAAAGGCGTAAGAACGTTAACAAGTACAGAGCCTCAGTCTTGAAAGATACATGCATACACAAGATTCCACATTTAGACACTGACCTCAATGTACATAAAGGCTCTGAAAAGCAATAGTGTGGTTACACACAAGCACATTCTCAAATACAGTGTACAGCTCAGGGCCTTTTTGCTTAAAAATACTAGAATCTTCACTCTAAACTTATTGCAGAACACTGCTGACATACAGCTTAGTCTATTTTTAAGTATGGTTTAAATTACTTTGTCTATCTTAAATTATAAGATTAGAATCTTAAACCCAAAATCTATCCTTTCTGTATTTTAGTCCTGCATGCTTTGTTCTAGGGGTTTATTCCAAACACAAATATGAAATGGTTTTGATTCTACACGAGAAAGTTATAAGATTGCAGAGTCATTTAAAAGCGTCTTCTATATTCTTAAGTATTATGAAGGAATACAAGATACGTTCTCTTCTATGCATCTCCACTTTCATCAGCAATGTGAAATATTAATCCACGTATCAAACACTATTTCTGATACACCCCCAGCAGACCACAACTTAACTCGATGACAAAACGGTATGATGAATTTTGGAAGTCTATTTAATTTTTAAGCCCTAACCCTTTCAGAAGCCTTCCTACTTCAGTGATTCAGTCTTGAAGCGATGACCCGGCTAACAGTTTTGTAACACTTGCAGATTCACAAAGATGAGATAAATGCTCAGACAAAACCCAGCACTAAGGCAGTATATAAAAAAAAAAACCTGGGCAATTAACATGATCCACGAGTCCCCAGTCCAATCATCCTGATCTAATGGTCCTTACCTCTTTCAGCCTTGGTCTGAGATAGCTAAAAAAGCTAGGTAAAATGCAAAGGGTACGATGCTTCAATTACGTTGATAACGCTCTTCTCATAGCCTTGGAAGTATAGCTTCTGTCACAGAAACAGAGAAATAATTTGTCAGGACACAGAACTGGGTACAACACCCCTGAATAAGTTACCCTGCAACCCATAAAAGACTGAAACTCAACCAACTGAAGTACAGGGCCGCCCGGGGACGAGTTTGCCCCACAAACTCAGGGCGCGCATTCAGAGTAGGGGTTTGGATCCTGAAGGAGAGGTTTGGATCCTGAAGGAGAGGTTTGGATCTCGGGCTGGAAGGGCAGCCCATTGCCCGGGAGGAAGCCCCGTTCTGCGGCTGTGTGGCCCTGCCG